CCCCCCCCCGCCACACCATTAAAATATAAAATAAAATCATCTGAAAAAAGATCATTAAAAATCCTCGTTTGTCAGCTTTAGTTTTCTAACAAAATATGCAACCAGGAAAAATATGCGAACAATACGTACAGTTAAGACTCTGCATTCTTGTGACCCAAAACTTTTAGTATACCTTTGGCTCTGCCTTACATAATCCTGAACATATTTGCAGTGCAATTCTGTATATGTTTACTCAGGATTAGGTTCTACTAAATTTAGTGGGACTTCTTCCCAAGTAAGCGTGCATAGAACTGCAGGCTTAGGCACTTCCTGTTTATGGAAGGCAAAGCAAATTTGGCACATCACTCTCTTCATAACCGTTGAAACCTCCAGATTGCATCAGTAGAATAGAGTTTTCATTTGAACTGAACCCTTATTGTGTGCATATAGAAAATCAGGGGCTTTACTGAATGGTGCTAGTTGAATTCTTGCACAGTTATTGCGGGGCAGGGTCTGCAAGATGTGTAGAGTTTTAATAGGGGCATTGTGCAAATGTTTACAGCATGATACCTCAATAACATGGTTCCCAAAGATATCAGTCATTCAAAGGGGAACAAAACACAAAGCTATTCTTGAGGCTGACTTCAAAACAGATTTAACTATGCACTCAGCATTTTTGCGTCTTTTGAATTGATTTGTGGCACTTAAAAAAAACAACTCAAGTTTCTGCACTAAAACATCCTTAACTGTAGACTGCAAATTAATAAGTATTTTTTCAGTATGTGTGGGGTGTGAAATGCTTTGTTGGAACACTGATGAAATGCAGCATGAAAAACTGAATATTATTACAAAAATAGGAGCAAGTTATACATATTAAACATTTTTGTAAATATTATATGCTTGCCAAAAAAAAGCATCAAACAACTTGGTTGGACAATTGCTACATTAGTGCAAACAGCTTATTTCTTTGGGTTCACTAGTCAAATGTTAAACACATATTTAAGTTAATACACAACAATTGAGCAGTGTCTGACAATTTTGGGGATTTCAGTAGGTGGAAAGATGGGGATACAACCTTTCCCCCCCTCTGTTGCAATTCTGATTTTTTAAAAAAGTTTTTGTAAGGCAACTATTTGTAATGGGGAGAAATCCTTTGCTAGCACTTGTGATGGAATCCACCCAAATACAAACAATATATCCAGAAGAATAATTTTTGCCAGGACTACAGTACGTGAAGAAAGGCGAAAAGCCTTCTCCTACAGTCCCAACAACTCTTGATACCTTTTCCTACTGCTGTGCTTTCCATTTTTAAAAAGGTACTTTTTAAATACAAATATGCTCCTCATGCTACTAATTGTGATTTAATACTTAGTAGAAGGGTTGCCACCACTGGATTTCAAGCACTCTAGTATGTGAGAAGGGGCAGAGTTTGGATCAGGTTAGGAGGCAGCATCTGGTGAACCTCAGAAGACCAAGGGACAGAAATAATTGCAAAAACTTCCTCTCTAGTTCAACTTCTATGTACTTAATACCGGCAGATATGGTCATCTTAGCCAATACGTGGGTTCTAGCAGATGCTGGAGAAGCCACTAAGTGTAAGATCACACACTAAGGTAAATGCTACGTTCTTCCTCTCATGATATTATTCTTCCAGGCATGCAAATGTTTCAGTGTTACCGTATATGCCGAAGCATCAGCAACACAGACAAAGCCACATTACCTCCCAGTTGAGTAATTTCTCAGCAAAAACAAGCTTAGTTTTTAAATGCACACTGAAGGAAGCTTGTGTTAAAATAAACACTCTCTTCCTCTTAAGGTTACACTGCTGCGAGATTTGAACTGAGAGAAATAGGTATGAATGTAATTGCCTGATAGTTAGCACTTCCACAATACTATTTAGATTGCCATCACATCCTCTTTTTTCCTTCTGCTAACCAGCATCCTTCAACACACTACCGCCTGTGAAACTGGACAATGGAAGAACCACACTGTTGCCTCCAGTAGCCTTATGGGCAATGGTATATAAAGAAGGCTTGATATAAGTAGTCAAGGATTCATTCAACAATCTTAGTATTCATATTGTTGAAGCAATCACACACTAAAAACAATCTTGGCAACTTGCCCAAATTTCCATATTTTACATAAATAATTATGTGATCAGGACTAGAGAAAGAATACGGGGAGTTGGCTCCCTTACTTAGAGAGCAGAAGTGGCCTACAATACTGGAAGCATATCCAAGTTATGAATCAGCTCAATGGATGATATGTCTGTTTCACTGTTCAAATAAAAAACAGAAATAAACTGGGCAACAGTTTTCTCAGAAGTAAAATTATCCTTTCAGAAATATGGAATTTTAAAAGTGGTTGGCTCCCTGATCCTTTTCCACTGTACACTTGCATGTATATAGTACAGAGTCACATTCTTAAGATATATTTACAGACCACAAATGTAAAAACTTTGGATGGACTCTTTTTTTATATAGAAGTCACTGCTATGTAGAAATTAAATGAAACATGCACATAACTATTAGAATGAAACGAACAATATTTTGGCCAACCTCAGTTTGCATTGGCAGGCAAAGAAAAGAATAAGTAGTAAATGAGTAAGGGAGGTGAGCAAGAAATGTGGAAGACCTAGAGAGCTAATGGAGAGGGCACTGGCTGATCAGCTACAGGCATTCCTGGAGGAGACTGACATCCTTGATCCATTCTAGTCCAGGTTCAGGCTGCGTCATGGCACAGAGACAGTATTGGTTGCGCTGCAAGATGACCTTTTGAGGGAGACTGACAGGGGCAAAGCGGTCCTCCTCGACCTCTCAGCAGCCTTTGATACCATCAACCATGGTATCCTCCTGGGGAGGCTCCCTGGGCTGGGGATCAGTGGCCTGGCTTTGTCCCGGCTCCGGTCCTTCCTAGAGGACCACTCTCAGAGAGTACAGCTTGGGGAGATGATGGCCACCCCTTGGACTCTTAATTGTTGAGTCCCACATGGGTCGCTCATCATCCAATAGGGTTTAATATCTATATACCAATATGCAGATGACCTCTAGCTCTCCTTTCACCCTTCTGCAGAGGATGCTGTCTTGTCCCTTAAGTGATCTCTGGATGCTGTGCTGGGGTGGGTGAGGGATAACAGACTGAGGCTGAACCCAGACAAGATGGAAATCCTGCAAGTGGGCACCTCCCTTTCTTTTTGGGGAACTACTCTCTCGATTGAGTTCCAAATAGTGTCTGTGGTTTGTTCTACC